GCTTATAAATCATCCAATCTATCATATTGTCTTTAAACAACTCATAGTGATGTAGACACCTCTGCAAACATGCAAGAACTCTCTATACAGTAGTTTCAGGGGCTGTGTACATTACTTTGTGTATATACCTCCCTATAGGAACCAGACATTGTCATGTATCCTTCCCTAAAATATGACTTACATCTAAAAGATAATGATACGAAAAATCCAATTGTTTCAAGAAACACCATTAGTAGATAAGTGCAAAGATCTCTCTAAAGATTACTGTTTTTAATTAGTGAAGTTTCTATAGGGCTTACTGAGTTCATTGTAGGGAGAGTAATTCACAAAATCATTCGATTTGCATGAAATGATCAAATTTAATGGATTTTGTTCAATCTATGCTCACAAAAATTAGAGTGCCCCAACAGTGTGACATAATGTTGGAGAATTCTCCACAAATCAGAACAATATGAAAAAAAAAAGTGGATAGATTTGGGAGAAAAATCTCCATAACACTTCCACAAATCTGTTTTGCACATAAGACATTTACTACTTTTTTTTTTCTTCTGGGAAAACTTTTCAAGAATGACTATGGAGAAAACTGCCTTGAAAGATAATATCTCTTTCAGGAACAAAAAGGACATTTCTCTAAGTTTAGAAAATGAAAAACATGTACCCTTTGGAAGAAAGAGCTGAGAGATTTACCTGCATAATAAAATATTCAAATTCCATAAGACCAAAGTTTCTCCATTATGACACAATTCGCACTGCATTGCCAAGTGCTACCAGGCACTCAATCCATCACCCTAAAGTGACTGGAGCTTGGGGAACAAGTACACAGTTCTTGATATTCAGGCTTTTGTGTTTGTTGAGACTAAAAACCTATTCTTTTGTTTTGGATCAAAGAAGCTAATCTTCTACCAAGATGTAAAATATTCTGTGCAGCAAGCGTATTTGTTGTGTATCACAAAAAAATCTCAGAAGTTTTGCAGATCGGTATAACTAAAATTTCCAGCTTTATAATTCAAGGACCAAAAGTTATACCAGTTTACCATCACCCTGTATTGACTCAAAAAGTCTAGTATAACGTTTGACTCTACCATTGTCTCATTGATTTTGGGTTATAAGTAAAATAATTAATTGTAAAATTAAAGAAACATTACTCCACAACATTACACTGAGCATAAAGGTCTAACACATCGAGAAGACCTAATCTTTCCTTTATAATGGCATGGGCAACATAGATTAAAACGGGAATTTATTTTTTCCAAAGAACACAGTACAAAATTGGAGAGGAAGAAACACCACTGTATTATTGTTATAGAAGTGTATTGAAATCTATAAAATCTATAAAAGTCTGGCCAAGGACCTACCTAATAATGATACAACTGTAGACTGTACTGAGTGGAATTGCAAATCGGTACAATCTAGAATTATTGGTCAGTAGTGTCTGGTGTCCACCTCAGTTGCTGCATGATAAAAAGTTGTTCAATTGTAAAGAAACAAAAATGACATTATATTTTAATTCACATACATTATATAAAATACCATTTTCAGTTCACTGTTACATTAATATAAGACAAAATTATGATTTTAATGTTAGAATTAAATGAGCATCAGATTTCATAGGCAATGACACACAGAATAAATGAATATTTTTATAAACTTATTTTGTGTTTTTATTGAATGACATGCCTACTGAAAATTATTGACTACAAAAATTAATGGATTTGGCTGCAAGAATATGGTATACAGTTTTTAGAGTGTTTAAATGACTATGTATGAAAGACAAAATTAATTGACCTGGAAATACACTTGTAAGAGGTCTAAAAAGGAGTATGACTGCCATTAATATTTTTATGACAATACGTTTGGATCCTATTATGTTTCAAATACAGCCAAGTGCTCACGAGTGGAGAAGACAAGAATCTGTGTCCTAATAAAAGTAACTATTGTTTTCCAAGTAAGGATGACATGTACCACTTGAGAACTCCTAGATCATATCTGGACTCATTGTTTCCTTATAAGGTCAGAAGGAAAATAGAAAATAAATATATGCGGAGTCTATATTTATTGTTATTTCAACTATGTCTGGTGACTTCTCCCTTTAGAGTTATTATCAAAGTTACACTTTGTGTAAAATTCTAAATGTGTGTATAGAATTGGATAATCTTACCATATATGTCACACAAATATACAATTTCTTGAAAGGCAATGTTTATCTTACTTGAATGACAGTGTAAGTTTTATATTATATCAGTGTTTCTTTTTTCATTTTATATTAAGAGAGAAGAAAGATGATAAAACTGCTGATATCACTAAGACAACTCAAATGTATCACTTACAAGCTCTAAATTCAAATCATGACATTTGTGACATGGATTATGGGATTTTCTTGTTTGCTGAGATGTGGAGACTGGAGTTTAATGGGTTTCTTGTTTGCATCACTTGATAAAGTTTTACAACTTATTCAGTTATTTACTTTCGTATATTTCATTACCTGGTTTACTTTCCCCAAAGATTAAAGAAACAAAATGATGTTTTTAAAAAAAAAAAAAAAAACTTATGAAATGAAATAGAGCATTTTTTTACCAAGTATGGTGATATTTTTTTCAAACTGTCATCTACCAAAATCCAATACACTTTTCCACTAAATTTTTTTGTATTTGTTCATATTATTTCTTTATATACCTCCACATCCACAGTATCAATGTACATAAGGAAAAAATATCTAAAGTTTCAGAGTATAAATCTGGCTTATCAACAAAACACACAATTACCTGTCTGAGCTTTCCTGCTAACATACTGGCAGGAGAAACAACTGGATCCCTTTGCTTTAAAATCCTTGTGCATAAAGATGCCAAACCTTCTCTCAAGGCAGGCCCAATACTGATAATTTCCTGAGCCAATTTATTTCCTAATTATATCATTCTCCTTAAAAGTGTGTATTCTTTCCCTTCAATCTAGTTAGATGATCACAGTCCTATCCACTATTCAGAAAAATGAAGGATTTTTCCACGTCTTTCCCCTATCAAACTCATGAGGTTTGACTGCATTTTCTCTGCCTCACTCCATTGTAAAGTGTTCACACTACGTGCTAACCTGAAATTCTCTTATTTACATATTCCCTTGTGCAGTTATTGTCTGTCTTCATTCTAGGTGATCTAGAAGCTGCAGTAAAGACCTGGAATCCCAGGTCTAGAATATTGTCTATCACAATGTCGGTGCTTAATTTAGTAATTTAACCTTGGAACTATCTATCTTATTGTAATTTACTTAAAAATGAACTAGCTGGAGGTGAATGAATCTAATTTAAAGAGAAAGGATTTTTTTTTTCTATGTCAACCATTTTTAACACTAAAACCAAAAACTGCCTTCTGAGGAAACAAAAAGTTGGCACTTGATAAAAGAAGCTATATTTACTTTTCTTGGAAGCATTTCCATTTGAATTATATTGAATTACCTGAAGCAGCACAATATTTTCAAGATATAATTTTTAAACTTGCATTCATTTCTTAGCCCGAGTTAAAATTCTCACCTTTATGTGTTTAACGCATCTTGAGCCTGCCAGTTAGGAAATGTAGTTCTGTTTACCTGATCTGATCCTTAGTTACTCTTTACATGACAAAGCTGATGAATAACATTTTTTTTTGCTCAAAAACTATTTGTTTTAGAGTAGATACTTTCAGCGTAAAATCAAAGCCACCAACAATTTTAAGCACACAATGTTTTGTAGAGATTTTCTACATGACTGTGGATGTGATTATATCCATCAAAATAAAGACAAAATTGAGAACAAGGAAAGCAGAATACTAAAGAGAGCACTGAAAGAAAATAAGAGAAGAAAAGATGAAGTGGAGACAGAGAAATAAAGGCATGCAGTCTCTAACTGTAGCTCATGTACTGTAAAACTAGAATCACGAAGTTTATCTCACAAGTTCCCTTTCCATGCTATTCCTGAAATATATGGATCTTAGCGCACATTTAAGGAGATTGTGTTATTTTTCCCTAGACAACAAATTAAGGGCTACCACATTTTCACAGTGTGTAAAACTGCTACCAAGGGCTCCAGATTTTTTTTTTTAACTGCCCTTTTCCCTAGTCAGTGCCTGGCATTTCCTGCTCCTTTTCTCTCTCCAGACACCTTAGCTGTCCTTACTGATTCACTCTGGATTCAAAGTTGAATTTCTTCTATTCGCTACCAAAAATGAGTCTTTCTCATTATCTGTAGGCCTTATATACTAAAACGAACCCATAGAGCAAAGTTATTTTAATTACTTTCTTCAGCCTAGGGAAATGGAAAACAGTAGAAGTATCAGAAGTCTCTCCCCATACCCACATATCTAATTTCTTAATCAAAGAATAGCACGGCTGGGAACTTACATATATTTTTGTGTAAGAAGCTAACATGCAATCAAAGAAAATGTAGAAAATATATTTTCTCAGCACAGATTTACATTTTCACTTTTTGTAACAAATAAAAACTTCAAGATGTGCTACGAAACACTCTCCAGAATCCCCCCTCATCAATTCCTAGCTGCCAACAATCACAGAAACAATCATGATACATAAAATATCGGTACCCCACAGATCTTATAACCAGGGAAGCCTTTCTGGGAAGTAAACACGCTATTCTCAAAGTCTAGGGATTCATGGCCCTGGAAATAATAAAATATATGACCCGTGTCTTCTGTCTTCACTATGAGGTTTGCTGCCTAAGGCCACTGGGACGTACTGCCCCAGAGAAACAACATACATAGTTTTCACTGTTGAAATTTTTCTGATCTTTTAATAATGTTTAATTTTTCTCATAAAAATATTCCAAACAATAAACTACCTGGATTAACAAAATTTAGGTTTATAAATAAATAAAATAATGAACTAAAAAAATAATATTTTAAAACTTAGTGAATCTAAAGGGAAGTGTTATACAGACAAATGTGCTAAGTATAGCTTTTGGATACCAGATGCTTTGCATAAACTCATTAGTTTCTTGACTTTATAAAATAGATACTTACTGTTAGCAGTGAATGAACTCTCAGAGTTAAGGTCTAAATATGACTTCAGATCATCAAACTATTGTCTGATTTTTCAGTAGGTGTTGGAGGTAAGTTTTTAGAAAGAACTAAAAGGAAATAAATAGGAAGAAACTACCATTACTTTGAAGAAATCACTTTTTATCCTTAAACTGACAGTTCAGCAAAATCATGAAGTAAATTATAAAGATTTGATTTGAAAAAAAATATGACTGATATTTGGAGAGTCATCCAAAGTTAGACAAAGCCAACGTATCATGTGATATATATATATATATATATATATATATATATATATATATCAGGAAATAAACATCTTGCCTATATTACAGGCAAGGGAAATAATGGTTCAGTGATCCAGGGAATAGTTCTATAGTGACAAGAGAGTAATCTGGGAATTCATATGAGATTCAGATGAACTCCTATTTCTATTCTCTTAGACATATTTTTAGATAATTTAGTAATGCTTAAAATTCTTAGATAATATGTATTTAATCTTAATTTAGTAATGCTTAAAACTCAGTGTACCTGATCATCTTGAATAATTTGTAACAGGATAATCTTTGTTCAGTTTTTGAAATGGGAGCTTTGAAAATACATGAAATCAGTTAACATAGGAATAGTTTTGTTTCTTCCATTCCTTCCCAAAACCTGTCTTTCGTTTCTAATTTTCTTACTAAATACTATCCATAACATTGACAGTGTCAAAAAATCTATAAAAAGCATTGCATACCATATATTTACAGTCTTTGTGCATTAAAAATACTCTATAAGAACAAGAAAATTTAAACATGCTATTGTATACACAACATTTTACACATTGTGCTCACAGCATTGTATATACAGAATTGGATGTAGGCTGGATGTAAGATGAGTTCTTTATATTTGCTCTCACTCTTGAATGGTATGACATGTGTATTTCTGAGAAATGTAGGTATGTTATCAATTTTTCAATTTTCAAGAAATTACTTAAGAAACGTGTTTCTACAGATAAGATGGAAAACACAGAGTCTGCGGCCAAAAGAAAAGTTGTGTGTGCAAAATGTGTGTAAACATAATTAAATCGGGGCAATAAAACTGAAATTTCCCCATAATGATAACTATAAAAATAGTGGAATGAAATCCTATACTTAGGGCATAGAAGGGAGCAATATAAGGTATAACAGTATGAGATCACTGAAATATTTGAAAAGAAGATTAACAAATTTATTAACTTCAAACTTTTGGTGAAATATATATAATTTCAGTAATAGAAGATTGAAGAGGAGTATAAATTTTTTAACTATTAAGAGACAGTATATGTGATACTATGACACAAACAAGCTATTTGACAGAAAACATTAAAAATTCAAGTATTGGCATCGATAATGACAGATCAAATAAAACAACAAAGCAAGCAGCTAAACTAAGTCTTTCCATATTATAAGTTAATGACTAGAAAATACCCAAGATAGTACTAAAATATATAAGACCCAAAACATATGATAATCTCAAGCAATATACAAAAATAAATAATTTCCAAGTATATTAAAGATATATTTGAAAGGAAAATATGTTCAAAATTTTTGAAGAACAGCATACCACTTTAACAATGCTTTGGAGATTATGAAAAACTTACTAAATCTGACTTAAAAGCAAAAGCAGTAATGTAATCATTGATAAAATTTACTACATCAGCATTTTAGATTTTTGCTTCTCAAAATATTCTAGTCTAAAAATCACACATTTTTAATGAATAAACTTTACTGTTATTTGTAATATTTACAGAAATTTATGTCAAAAAGTAATGAGTTAGCTTTTATAAATACACCTAAAATAAAAATGTTACAAAAATCAAGAAAAATGATTATTTACATGAAGAAAATTTTAGAATATGGACTAACGCTCAAATATATTGCAAGAAATAAAATGGAATAATCATGCATCATAAAATTCAATGAACAGAGGACTCCTGCAATGGACCATCTGGGTGCAGAGGAAGGGATAGGCGGATCTGGGGCACCTGCATCTGCCTCCCCGTGTGTTTGGAGGACTGTGGATATCTCAGCAAGCAGGTGAGCATTGCAGGTTCCAGAGGCCCCGCGGCCTGCGGTAAGTGCTCAGTGCACTCTGCCACAAGCCCAAACTGTTCAGGACCCTCCAGGCTTCTGGGTGCAGCGAAGTGCATAAGTGGGTTTGAGGCATCTACATCCGCCTCCCCATTCTGGCTGCACTTGGAGAACTGTGGAGCTTCCAGCAAGCTGGTGGGCACACAGTGTCCCTGGAGCCCAGCTTATCTGGAACTACAGAGTTCTAAACAGGCAGAAGAGGGCCATTGGTTCCACAGGCCCAGTGGCTTGGGGGAACTGGGTGCCAGTGTCCCAGGAGCTGAGAATAGAAGTGGATTTCCAACAGACCCTGAGGAAGCTTTCAAATAACACTTGAAACACAGAAATATAGGAAAATGACAGAATGAAAGACCAAATTACAACCTCAAACCTCCAGCCCATCTGAAGAAACCCTAAGAGCGATGTTTATAGAAGAAAATATATGCCATTCACCTCAAATATTGGCCATAATAGCTATTGAAATTAACAAGAAACTCCAGGAAGCTTTAAAGAAATTCAAACTCGAAATAATCTTCCAGGTAAAAAAATAAAAGATAAAAGAAATGAAAGAGATTCTGAATATATCTAAAGAAAACACAGTGAAAAAATTGGAGGAACTAAACAAAAAGATAGAATCCCTAGATTAGCAATATAAGAAACAAACAGAATACATAATGCAGATGCATAGAGATACACAGGAAATAAAAAACTCCACTGAAAGTTGTAAAAACTGCCTCAATGAAAGTGAAGATAGAATTTCAGACCTTGAAGACAGGATTGCAGCTAGTGAACAGGAAAGGAAAGATCTTTTAAAAATAACAAGGAATCAGGAAATAACAATTCAACAACTGCAAGATAATGCAAAGAAAAATAACATAAGATTGATAGGGATTAATGAAAAAGAAGGAGACAACATAAAGGATGTCAAGAGAATATTTAGAGAAGTAATAGCTGAAAATTTCCCAAGCATGAGATCAGAAACCAACATCAGGATCAGTGAAGCATATAGAACTCCAAATAGTCATAACTAAAATAAAACTACACCCAGACATATAATAATCACCATCCCAGAAATCCAACACACGAATAGATTATTAAAAGCTGTCAGAGAGAAATGACAGATCACTTATAAAGGAAAACCTATCAGAATCACAGCAGACTTCTCAGCACAAACAATAAAGTCAAGAAGAGCATGGAGTGAAGTATTCCAGATCCTAAACGAAAATGATTTCCAACCTAGAATGATGTACCCTGCAAAACTATCATTCAAAATTGACGGTGAAATATGATACTTCCAAGACAAAGAACAGCTGAAGAACTTCATGAACACCAAGCCAACCCTGCAAAAAATATTGAAAGACAGTTTAGATACACAAAGGAAAAAACCACTAAGCAAAGCAGATAATTAAACATACTTAAACAAATGCAATACAGTTGAAATCGTCCCTTGCATGTTATCGGATCATAGCGCTCTGAAATTACAAATTAATGATAAAAGATACTGCAAAAATCCCACAAACACATGGAAACTGAATAACACACTCTTGAGTAATCAGTGGATCACAGAAGAAATTAAAGAAGAAATTAAACAATACCTACAAGTAAATAAAAATGCAGATACAACTTACCGGAATCTGTGGGACGCAATGAAAGCTGCCCCGAAAGGAAAATTTATTGCAGCGAGTTCCCACATCAGGAAAACAGAACAAATACAAATAAACAACTTGATGCTACACTTCAAACAGATAGAAAAAGAAGAGCAAGTCAAGCCCAAAGCCAAAAGAAGAGAGGAAATTATAAAAATCAGAGCAGAAATCAATGTAATACAGACAAAAAAACAATCCAAAGAACGAACGAATCAAAGAGTTGGTTCTTTGAAAGAATAAATAAAATCAATAAGCCCCTAGCCAACCTTATTTTAAAAAGGGAAGCAAAAGCTCAAATTCATGCAATAAGAAATGAAAAAGGTGAAATCACTACAGACTCTACAGAAATACAGAAGATCATCAACACCTATTTTGAAAACCTCTATTCGCAAAGGTTTGATAACACAGAAGAAATAGACAGATTCTTAGAAACATATGAAGCACCAAATCTAGATCAAGAGGATGTAAAACTGCTGAATAACCCAATCTCTATTAATGAAATTGAAAATGTAATGAAGTCCTTACCTACAAAGAAGAGTCCAGGCCCAGATGGATTCACTGCAGAATTCTACAAGAAATACAAAGAAGACCTAATGCCAACACTCCCCAAACTATTCAATGAAACTGAAAGGGAAGCAATCCTTCCTAAGTCATTCCTGGAAGCAAATATTACTCTAATACCAAAACCTGAGAAAGACCCAACTATAAAAAAGAACTATAGACTGATCTCCCTTATGAACACAGATGCAAAAATCCTAAATAAAATATTGGCAAAGAGGATGTAGCAAATCATCAAGAAGATTATACACCATGACCAAGTGGGATTCATCCCAGGAATGCAAGGATGGTTCAATACATAAATCAATAAATGTAATCCACCATATCAATAAAGGCAAAAGTAAGAATCACATGATCATTTCTATAGATGCAGAAAAAGCCTTTGATAAGGTCCAATATTCATTCATGATAAGAACTTTACAGAAAATTGGAAGAGATGGTCTTTACCACAATATAACAAAGGCTATTTATGACAAACCAACAGCCAGCGTCATACTAAGTGGCCCAAAATTGAAAGCCTTTACTTTAAAATCAGGCACAAGACAATGATGTCCTTTATCACCACCTATTTAATATAGTACTGGAAGTACTAGCCAGAGCAATTAGCCAAGAGAGAGAAATAAAAGGGCTAAAGATAGGAAAATAAGTTAAATTATTATTGTTTTCAGATGACATGATACTTTACATAGAAGACCCCCTAAACTCCATTGAAAGACTCTTAAATATAATAAATAAATTCAGTAATGTAGCTGGATACAAAATCAATTCTCAGAAATCAATAGCATTCCTATACACTAAC